GACAGCCTATTTGGGGAGAATTACGTTCTGACAAGTTGTAGTAAAAAATGTATTAACTCTTCATGTCCCATACAGAGCTTCGGGAGTCCGGAACAGTGTTCCGAACAATTAAATTCCAAGGTCTTTACCACTGCAAACAACAAACACTTAACGTTCCTAAGGAAACGTCGAGCTGCTTATATAATGGATTACTTTGCTTGTAAGAACAATTACAAATGTTTGGAATTTAAACAAGTGTGCGACCTAGTGGACGACTGTGGCGACGATTCTGACGAAATCATGTGCAAAAACCATTTCCAGTGCACCGACACAGGCTTCTACATTCCAATGACAAGCAAATGCGATGGCACTATCAACTGTTCTAATCTATCAGATGAGTGTAATGAAGATTGCTCAGTTAAAATCCTTAAGAACTGGATGCTGGCTGTGCTGTCGTGGACTATGGGGGTGATAGCCGTTTCTGCAAATTTGTGGGTCATCGTAAAGAGCATTGTATTTTTCAAAACTTGTAACAAATCAATGGTATTTGTGAACAAATGTCTAATCGTAATGATATCATTTGCGGACTTTCTAGTAGGCGTATATCTACTCTTCATCGCTACGTTCGACACTATAATCTACAAAGACAACTACTGCTCCCAGCAGAACATTTGGCTCACTAGTACATTTTGCCAGGTACTAGGGGTGATAAGTTCTATGGGATCACAAATTTCCTTATTTGCCATGACGGGGCTGAGCATGACTCGAGTTAAAGGAGTTTACTCTGGCATGAAACGCCAAGGTGATGTTACCTCCAAACTAAAACTTAAGATGGTCTTGACAGGGGTCCTTCTTTGCTCAGTAGCTACTTTCATATCGGTATTTCCACTGATTAATAGATTTGAGGACTACTTCGTAAATGGGTTGACGTACGACACTGAGATGAGAATATTCATAGGACGGGTCAACAAGGAGACTCACTTTGCGGGCTTACAAGGCTTTTACGGGAGAATGAAACACCAGACACTGTCTTGGCATATGATAAATAAAATGGTGGATGGTATGTTTTCACATGACTATGACTACACAAACATCACTGAAACCAGAAGGAAAGTCACTTTTTATGGAAACGATGGAGTGTGTCTCTTTAAATACTTCGTCAAAAACACGGACCCTCAGAGACATTTTGTCTGGTCAATCTTAGGAATAGACCTGCTGTGCTTCTTGATGATAGCAGTCTGCTACATCTGTATAGGAGTCATAACAACACGTTCATCCCATGCTGTTAACGTCCACAAAAATGATGCAGCATCCAAAAGGAGGAGGAGAACTAATAAAAAAATCGCAATTATCATCTGTACGGATTTTTTCTGCTGGGTACCTTTCATTGTGATCTGTGTCCTACATTCGTGTGAAGTGCTGGATGCAACATTTTTATACTCAATGTTCTCCATTGGTATTTTACCTATAAACTCAATGATTAACCCTCTCCTTTATGATGATACCTTCGCCAAAAACCTTACACTCCAAACCTTTAAATTGTTTTTTGTTTCTGGAACATCAATAGTGGTGAACCTCCGGAGGCGTGGGAGAGACAATCTTGTGCACTTCGGAAGAGATGTAATTGAAATGAAAAACATTGGCCCCGCAAATGATCCTGCACCAACTGATTTAGTAATAACAGCAGAGCATGCAGCGGAAGAAATAGTTGGAATGAGAAACATTGGCCCCGCAAATGATCCTGCACCAACTGATTTAGTAAAAACGGCAAAGTATGCAGCGGAAGAAATAATTGAAATGAGAAACATTGGCCACGCAAATGATCCTGCACCAGCTGATTTAGTAAAAACGGCAGAGTATGCAGCGGAAGAAATAGTTGAAATGAAAATCATTGGCCCCACAAATGATCCTGCACCAACTGCAGAGATAACGGATTCTACATAAAAGGCAATAGCTATTTGTAAATAGCTTTTTGTAAATTAATTCAGGGACACATTTCCGAGCGTGCTAAATCACTCTACAGTCGATCTTCGAGATTGTTCTAAAAGGGCCCCCGACGGTTGTAACCAACTTCAATCGATGTATTTTCGGACGCTAATTCCGAATCACCCCCCACGACATAGGGTTAAAATGCTCCCCTGACGAGATATTGGCGAAAAACTGTCTCGTCGTCTCAATCACGTGATATGACCATATAAGGAAGTTAGTCTAATTTCTTGTTAGGGTTAGGGTTTCAGCATATGTTTTTGTTAAGGATGGGTTAGGGTTATAGTTGTGATCAGATTATAGGAATAGAGGGTTAGGGTTTCGAAAAGTCGTTCAGAACCAGCTAGAAAACGGGTTGAAAAAGTCACGTGACAGTCGAGTGTAGAGTGATTAATCATCATCCATACATTTCTGAAAGGGCTTTTAATTAAGTTAGTTTCAATAAAAACTCGACTGGAGATTTGGCTTACTTAAGTTTCCCGAATTTTAAAAGTTTTTCCAGGCCCATATTCTATATATATTAATTACTTCATCTTGTTACATTTTCACACGGTATTAGAGTATTGGGATACCAGTAGGTTTAAGTTGATGTAAGAAAACTATGCTATCTCATTATTAGAATTGTGTTTGGGGTCGTGAACGACTCCATATGTCTAGCAGAGAAATGTAATTTGATTAAAATACTTTCTGGCGCTATTGTTTGACTTTCTTCGAAAGATATTTATGGACTATTTCTCCCTCCTACTGAATTTTTCACATTGTTCTTTCTTTTTTTTTAAGAGAGGCTGGGCCAAGATAGCCCACGAGAGGATAGCATTGAGATGCTCTGCCTACCTCTGGGGTGTGGCAACCAAGGTTGTTAAATACGTCAAATTTTCGTGAAAGAATACGACGTATTCGGTTCTAATAAAGAATACGTCGTAATACGCCGTAATACGGTAATTTCTATGAATTGTTAAATACGTCCACGAATACGCCATAATACGCCGTAATACGCTGATTTGTCAAAATTAAGCATTACAGCTGCGCGCCACCCTCATCATTGATCATGCATTAAAGGAGTGCACGACATTTATTTCCCCATTTAATTTAGGAGTTTCAACTTTGTTTCTATATCGATAATCGATTCAAAGATAACTAAAATTTACTCTAACACGAAAGTAACTTAAATTAATTAAACGGTCTAATTACACAAAACTGCACTCCTATAATGCAATTGTTATGAAGATCATGTGCTCTGGCAGTGAACTGCGGGGTTCTGGATGATTAGAAACTACGTGAAAGCAGGTAATTTCCTTGTACAAAGCAAACAATTTTTTGCACGCACGACACACCTTTTCGTAATAGTAATACGTCAATTTTCGAGAATTAATACGTATTCGTATTCCAATACGTATTCCCTCCTAATACGTATTTAACAACCTTGGTGGCAACCCTGGGGAAAGTTGCCGGTGAAATCAGAGTGAATGGTGGAGGATGGTGTAAGAAGTGATATGAGTCAAAATGATACGCTTAAATGCCAGCTTGGTTTGGAAAAGTAAAACGAGACGAGGCGAGACAGCATTTGAGATAATACTTTAAGTCACCCCGGTCTGATCCAGCTCTTCCGGCACAATTAAACGTTTGGTGCGGTTTGCGAAATAGACAATCGTGGTGATGTGTTGGTTGTCGAATATGTCATTGACAGAGAGGTAGTAGTCCTGGAAATATTGACCTCTAATTTGGGCAATAGCCGGACACTGTCCAAGGAAGTGTGAGACAGTTTCCTTTCACATTGTTCTGTTTAATTGAAGATAATTTGAAATTGATAGCGAATTATACAATGGAAAAATATGAGTTTCTTTTATTTGGATTACATTCCGTGACAAAGTAAACGCCAAATATTACGGCTAAATTTGGAAGACAACTGTCATACAAGAAAATTAAATCTCTACAATTAACCGCCCACGATATGACTGCAAATCATTTACCAAAAATATCTACATTATTTATAAATAAAATTCAAGTTAACATGATCCAGCCCCAAACCAGTCTTTTAAAACAGATTTTATACACAATTCAACTCTTCAAGCGCGCTTAAAGAATTCAGACATATCTAGTTTGACACCAGAACTTAGGTATTTTACAGTCAGAACTCTAGAATTATAAATACACAGATTTCATGATACCAAATTTCTTCACATAGCATAGCCATGTCACTGCCGCGCGCAGTGTTGTGACCCCTCTTCGTCGTATTTTACAAATATTTGGACGTTGGCAATTTATTCAATTGATAATTTTAAAGTTTTAACATTTTTAATATTAAATTCTTTTTTAATATAGTTCTAAAACGATTAAACTTGCTTTCTGTGAAAATTTAATGTACTTTCGTAAAATAATTTTGATGTGGCAGCGATTTGAAAAAAAAATTAGTTAAAAATGATCCAAAAAAATTGGACATTTTTTGATATTAAAACATGTATAACTTGGGCTGTGTTGACAGTAGAAAAATAATTTAACCCTTGTCCGAAAGGTTTAAAAAAGTTTTACGCGCCGCGCATAATTGCCGCGCAATTTCGCGTGTCAAATCCGTCTAAGAGTGAACATAATTGATGAAGGAGCACTTTGAGCTTTACACCTCGTGCGTTCACTGTTCGCGTCTTAATTGCGCCCAGTTCACTGTTGCCTCGCGTTATTCCATCATCCATATTTCTGCTCTTAGTTGCTTTATAATGTGTCAGCAGTAATCAGCCCTGCTGTATTATATATTGTGCTTGATTGTTGATACCTAATTAATTAACTGTTTACGATGGCAGTTATGGTGGATGATGATTAATCACTCTACAATCGCCTGTCACGTGACTTCTTCAACCCGTTCTGTAGATAGGTAGATGGCCCTAAACAACTATTCGAAACCCGGAAACCATAACCCTCTAATCAGATCCCAACCCTAACGGCCTAACCCTAACCAAATCCTTAACAAAAGCATATACTGAAACACTATAGAGAAATTAGGCTAACTTCCTTATACGGTCATATCACGTGAGCGAGACAGTTTTTCGCCAATATCTCGTTAGGGGAGAATTTTAACCTTATGTCATGGGGGTAATAGGTAAGTACTTAGTAACCTCTTTGCTTTTATTCGAGCCTTTTATTAAATCGAAGTTACAGTTCACGAGGTTGATCCTTTGGGAGATATTAAATCCTGTTTTACTATTATTTATAAATTCTAACGTTTAACTTTAATAATAATAAGTAAGTTTGGACGCAGACTAGAAACGAGTTTAATCGACTAAGTTTTTGATTTTGTGTACCTTTTTATCATACAACTTTTTAATTTCAGCAAATTTTAGTTAAAGAGTAAATCAAAGTTAGCAATCATTGAACTCAATAGTTAAAAAGGTGACTGTAAAAATAGAACTAAGATTTCGATACTTTTAAATGAACTTCTAGTTCTAATGATATAATTTTAAATTATTAGATGTTTAAATTTTCCTGATAGCTGGATCATAGTCATGTAGAAATTAGGTTAAACATTGTCATGCAGAAATTAGGTTGAAATAATTTTGTCCATAGAAAACACAGTCACGCCTTACATTATTACAAGCTTTAAAGGGCTCGTGAGTCGTGTTAGTGTTACTATTACTTTTGAGCTTGAAAGCAGACAAAACTTTGCTTATTTGTTTGTTTATTATTTTGTTTGTTATTAGAGAAAGAAGACAATATTACCTCTCGATTATTTCAGGAGAAGCTAAAAGCGCTGAAAGACAAAGAAGCATCTCCCGCAGGAGCTGTTGAATCAGCACGCTGAAGAAGTACAGAGACTGGTGAACAAGCTGATAAACTCAGACAGCAGCAAAAACTTCAAGTGAGCTTCGTGACGTCATTGACATTACCATTGATGATTACCGTCGTTGTGACGTCATTTTCGATGTTGATCGAATGAATTTATTTGTATTCTAGAGATTCTATTTTAGCATTTGACAAGTAACAACTTTGGCTCTGTTTACTGTGCTGTAATGCACTGAACGACCGGGATTCCCGGCGCCGGGGGAGGTGTTTATTCCCGGCCCCGGCCAATTTTGAGTTTTTGGCCGGGAATTATAGATTAAAAAGTCACATAAGAACTTAAAAACTACTGTCTTATTTGACCCACAATTCATACTTACATTTACAACTTATCTTATATTGGTAAGGGATCAATTAGCCGAAGTTAAAATGGAAAGTGCCAGTTTTACTTAGTCTGAAGCACTGAGCGTGAAAAGTGATATTAAAATGGACTCTAAAAGTGCCTGTGTCTTCATACTATGGTGTTCCGCCTCACTTCTATACTACTATAATCGAGCACAGGACTTGACAAGCCCACTAAAACAAGTTGTGTAAAAATACCACCAGTTCACGGCCCAACCACATTGTTTATTTGTACACCCAGTGAATTATTCCTTATATGGCGCGGAACATTCCTGGCCTAACGTGTGTGCCGTGTTTCTCCGCACTATCAGTTGACTACCATTCATGTAGTTGACTGCCACTGTACTCGCATTTATGAGTTACTTTTTTTTACGTGTTTGATTTAAATTGCTCGTGATTAGACACACGTTCGGTGAAAGGGGAGGGGATAGTTTTCACTTTTCAGACAAGGGAAGGGGCAAGGAAACGTGTGATTACTTGATTATTGATTTTTCACGTTTTAAGTTAATCTCGACACGTGTTCAGTAATTATGTGTTTTATAAATACCCTACTGTTTACACTTTTTAAATCCCTTTAAAGCCAACAATATAATCCACAAAACAGACTCCTGGCACTAATTTCAGGATCTAAAATAGGCCCGGGCTTTTTTTTAAGTTACTGACATGACGCTGGTCCTCACTTTTTGGAGTCTACTCCCTCATTTCCAGGTTAGTGCACTATTAGTGGGGAGGAGGTGTATTAACTTTATCAGTCACGTAACCTCATGACACTCCCCATCACGGGTAACTTGTAATGGTAACGTTGTCATGGTAACAGAAATGTGTTTTCAGGCTGAACAGGAAGCTGTACAACAACCGGTCTGACAAGTTACAAGTGGTGGACCTACATCATCTAGATGTACAGGTTCGTTCATTTACTGATTGATAGCTATTTTAATGAACTTATTTGTTTAGATTTATGACGTGTTTCTCAATTGACAATTTTATACCCTCGAGATAATACAAAATTCTATGAAGGATACATTTTTAATTTTCAATTACATAAATGACAAACTTAAGTTGACTAAATCGCTGCCTGTATTTGGATTATTTAAAAAAATCAATTTGGTGTGACCACAGTACCATAAGTCGCACTGAGCATAAAACCTGTGAGCGAATCACCATACTTAAAGAGTGTGTGCCAGCTCATGTCCGTCTTCATAACCTCTTCCCTCCACTGTCCCCATCTTGACTGCATCTCAAGAGAGCCGCATTGAACTTCACTTTCATGCTCGAGGTTTCTTTTAACTCTCTGAAGGACCTCAGCTTGTTGTTCCCGGGCGTTCATCTTCTTCCACGGTTTCTTCCATTCTCCAAAACCAATCCTTGCCCTGCTGTACGGCTGGACCATTCCTCTCACCGCTTCACAGACTAAGTCCCTCTCAGCACAATCTAGTTCCTTGTCTGGTCTCCAAACTCTCCCTGACCTGACTTGCGGTTGAATCGCCCTTATCATGTCATCAAAAAACTGCTGGTAGGACTGTTGGAGTCAACATTTCTCCAGCTTCCAAGTATCAGACAGGCTGCCGATGGGCAAGGCCACACTAGATGTTTGACTAAATAAGCAGATGTTACTCAGTTTGACCCACATGTGAAGGTCGCTAAACTAAATGTAATATTTCAGGTACAAATTCTACTAGTACGATTCGATGCAGTGGAAGAGGTTGAAGTTGACGTTTAAGCAGTCACCCTGCCGAACAAGAAATCAGTCAGGCAAAGAGGCTAGGTTGACTAGAAACTCAATCACTATATCCGTGAAACTTGCTGGAAGCTATGTGAGTTATTTTACCTCCTTATTTCAAATGACCTCCAAACCAATTACATTGAACTTTGAAGAGGTGAAGAAACCATTAATATTTACTGAATTAAATGCGACTATAAAACCGAAATAGTAATACACTGCTGACTACAAAGAAACATCTTACATGGGGTTCAGGCTCATATAAGTGTTCATATGTTAGTGTTCATAGCCGTTGAAAATATGGCGGAATGACAGGCTGAATGTGGCCCAGTAGAAGAAAAAAACATTATAATTCTTTCCGACCATAATAGAAATACAATTAAACTAGAATGAAACAAAGAGTATTAAATTTTTAAATTAGTCGAGTCAACCAAATTTCACAGAGAAGCTGGACATTTATACGACAATTTAAACGCAATGTGTATGCGCCGTGATCAATGGTCACGGCGCAGAACCATTGCGCCGTGACCGTTGATCACGGCGCATAACCCGTAAGATGCTGCGCACATTTTTGATTTTAAAATGGCGGGAACACATTTCAACTGCCATTGTTATACGATACATTGAAGTGCATAGTGGAGTGTGTGGTCTGATAGTAGACAGAGGATTTATTCGAAACATTCCCGGTGCCTTCAACTGTTCTTTGCACTGACTATTTGATTGCTTAAACGAATAGGCGAGCCTTCAAAAACATTAGTTTTCATAGTTTTATGATGCAAATATGATTTTTCCATTTACTTAACTGATAATACCCCCAATATCTTTTCAGGTGTGGAGGTCGGACCGAAACTGTAATCAGACACTAAACATTAACGAGGACCAATTATTTTACTCCCTTAATGATGAATAAAGATCGCTGATTGCTTTTACTAATATATAGTGTTAAAATGAAAGAGAAACTGTTGAGACGAAAGAGAAAAACGCACTCATTTATTTATAGTTTTATGTCTTAACAATGTTATTCGAAAGCTAATTTTAAAAGCTGGCTCTGAATCCTTGCTAAATGATTTGGGAAGGTGTAAGGGCTAAATATGCCTGTAGACATCATTTTCAGTGGGTTTTATGAAGTTTATGATTAGGGTATATTTTGGGACTGAAATAAGCGCAAGACCTTCGACGTTTCTATTCCTACTGTTTTTTTAATTTAGCAAATATACAAAAAAAAATTATACTGTCGTAAAGATAAAATGTTTAGTCATCGGATAGATACTTCAAAATTAAGTATTAAAATAACCGAGCTAAGATATTCAATGTTAAACTCAAAAATGTTCACGCGTTTATGAAGAAATATCTAATTCTGCGCGTAGTTTTTTGGTCACAACTATGGCAAATTTTTACCAATTTTGTTCATAATTTCAAAATGTTATTTAGTAGACAAATTACTTTCGGACTAAATCCTTATTGTTTATTCAAATCTAAAAGAAACAACATTTATTTGACTTCAAAATTGTTCAATCTGAATACGAGCTAATTACGACGAAGGGAGGTCACAACACTGCGCGCAGGAGTGCATGTGTATACGCGTACTGCGTGACGCGCTTGTTGCACAAGTAGAATACAGGAGGGCTAAGGTCAAAGAAACTGCTGCTCACTGCTGCTCGCTGCTCACTGCTGCTGTCACGCGCGCGCACACAGCAGCACACAGGAGGGGCTAAGTGCAAAGAAACTGCTGCTCACTGCTGCTCACTGCTGCTCACTGCTGCTCACTGCTACTAACTGCTGCTCACTGCTGCTGTCGCGCGCGCGCCCATAGCAGCAGTGAGCAGCAGTGATTAGCAGTGAGAAGCAGTGAGCAGCAGTGAGCAGCAGTTTCTATGCACTTAGCCCCGCCTGTGAGCAGTGAGCAGCAGTGAGCAGCAGTGATGAGTGAGCAGCAGTTAGCAACAGTTTCTTTGCTATTTTCACTTAGCCCCTCCTGTGCAGTGCGTTGCGTGCTGATAATTGAAAATTGGAATGCAACGAATGCACCGGGCGTACAACGTACCAGTGCATTTTATTTAATGTCGTTAGGTGCGCGCGAGCTCAAACCGGCAGTAAAAAAACAAAAACGCACTTTTAGCGAGCCAACCAGCCAGTAAAGTTTTCTTATTAAGAGTACGCGCGCGGCCATATCGTCGCACTCGCCACTGTTAAAATGTTAATGATATAAAACATAAAATGAAAATTGAAAATGAGGCGATTAAGGATTACGATTACAATGCGCGACGTGAAACATGAACAAAACTGACCCCCGGCCCAGTGGCCAGTACACGCAATTTTTAGCATTTTGCTTCAACCGGGCAGTGGGAACTTAACATTTTAAAATGTTTTAATCCGTTAATGTTTGCGAAGCAAACATATGAAAATTGAAAATTGAAAGGCACAGTTTATATTTCCACCGAAACACATGAGGGCTATAGTGCAAAAAAATTGCTGCTCACTGCTGCTCACTTCTGCGGACTGCTGCTCACTGCTGCTCACTGCTGCTCACTGCTGCTCACTGCTGCTGTCACGCGCGCGCACATAGCAGCAGTGAGCAGCAGTGAGCAGCAGTGAGCAGCAGTGAGCAGCAGTTAGCAGCAGTTTCTTTGCACTATAGTCCGCCTATGGAAAGCACACTTCTCAAATTGCGCGCATTGGAGTAGCTTCATTTATACTACATGAATCGAAATCAAATCGTTTGTAATGTATTCAAAATCAATATATGGCATATGCACTTTACTTATTTAAATCACTTGGAATACTTTCGAAAAAGAATAACAAGCTCAAAAATGCTACTATCTTATTTTTTTTTTGTAAAAAGCACATCAACGTGAGTATCGTTTGTCGAGGTGCCTCAAAAGTGACTTTGAACGATTCCTCGTTCAATTTTGGTCGGCTGACGTTAGCTTAATGCAGAATCAAACAAGTTATAAACATATTTAATACATACAAAATTAGATTTGCTTTCGGTTGAAGTTTGGTCAAATGAAAAATCTAATCAAATCATGTCATGTGAATTAATTGGCAGACAGTAATTTATTAATTTGATTTGACCCAACTCATTCATGGTATCAGATTGACAGCTTAGAGTATTTCAATTTTACCTATGAAGGACTTTGTAATTCCTCAATCTTGTACGTCAGTGAAGTCTAGTTTTAAAACCTGCTTCCTGTCAAGCTGTTTGTACAGTGTCATTCATTGGGGTTTCCCTCTGAAGTTCCTTGACCTTGTACTCTCTGTCAAACCATGGAACTTCATTTATGACAGTTTCAAGCTACCTTCAAGCTCTAGTTATCATTAATTTATAATTTGTTATTACAGTGTGGGTCAAAAGTCAGTACCCATACGTTGGCCTTTATAGCTCAGTCATTTAGTGCCCAATCGAAATAATTCTTTCTGGTATAACTAAGTACCACCACTGGTTCGAGGAATTTGTCAACTCGCAAAATATTCGTGTTCATTTTTTTCATTCATTTTCGCAATTATTTTCTAATTTTACTGAATTGTGTTTGGCCATTCGATGTACGTTTGTCCTGAAAAAATGAGAGTTCTAGCTTCTCAGATGACCGAGATACGAAGCATAATGAGTTTATTCATAGCATGTGATCAGGTGATTGGCTTACCTAATCACGTGATAAGGTGACCCCGTTAACTACCCTGTTAAACATAATGGGAGTCGTTAAGGCTGCCCAATTAAGTTTTAATACTTTCAACACTACTATATAACAAATAATTTTAGGTATGGCTACCGATGAGTAATCCGTTGGAGTAAAGTCTGCCGGTGTCCTGGGTGTGATGGATCTGAGTCAGATGGCAGGTTGTGGAGGTGGTAATCGTTTCTTCCTATTGCCCTGGTAGTCTTGTACTGCCAGGGCTCCTGCGGTCTGGTACGAGGTTAGTTTTATTGTTAGAGATCTAGTGATGTTTGAAATTTATTAACTCCTTTTAGCTACTTCTCCTTTAGATAAGTATTGCATTCTTTTTTCTGCTATACAGTTCTTTACAACACCTCTGTTCATTATAATTCAAATTTTTTTCACTCTGAACTATAAATCTCTGGCCTATTAACTGTTTCAGATCCAGATTGCTAGGGTTTACAACGGTGCCACTGAAACATCCTGCTGTTGATCTCTTATCCGGATCACCCAGTCTCCTCCCGATCCTCCCACACTTCACAACAAGATGCCAACACTGCCCGCCAACTTCCTCGCCTTACTGCAAAACTTATCTCTTGAAGTAAAGCAACACATGCATACCCTCCTTACTCAGAGTATCCTGGACAGTCTGAAAGAGAAAAAGCTTGCTTCTAAAATAGAACGTATAGATGAAAAGAAGAAGGAAAAGAAAACGAAGAAGGAAACTACTGTTCAAAATGTCTCGTATAGCCCACATACGCTCGTAGAGCACGTTCCAGTTCTCCCTGGAATGGATGAAAATCTATTCCAGAAAATCACAGAAGAATTAGATTCAATGAATCTTGAAGGCAAATCTAATAAAGTCCACACCCTATGGCTAAGCCCTTCATCAGAAGACTACTGCTTTGGTAACATAGTCAACAAGCCACATCCCATCAACAACTTCCCTAGCATCTTTAAGTTGATGGGACTTATTAATGACCTCCCCTCCACCACCAACAACATGGATGCTTGCCTTGTTACTAGGTACGACACTCAGCAAGCTAAGTTAAGCCTCCATAAAGACGATGAAGACCTAATAATATCACAGTCCAGCTCCATTTGCACTTACTCAATAGGGGCTCCGCGGTCACTTGAGTTTGTGCTCGATACAACCCAAGTAGAACAACGCACAACTAGGGCCTCTAGGTCAAGGCCAGCCCAAGAGTTGATTAACGCAGACTTCACCCTTCCTGCCACCAATGGCACACTGAACATCATGAAGCCTGGTGCACAGCAAGTCATGAGGCACAGGATTGCCCCAGGAGTTGCACCTTCTGACAATGAAATTTGTTGGAGGTATAGTCTCTCCTTCAGAAAGTTAACCACACCTTCCTCTTCCCCTTCATCTCCTATTCTTCCCTCTCCTACATCCGACAGTCCTAATAAGGTACCCCCAAAAGCTCCCATCACAGACTCTCAAAAACACCAGAAGTCTATCATCCTCATTGCTGGTGACTCCTTTGCTGCTCGATTGGACGCTGATCGCCTCAGTAGAGGTAAAGAAACTGTCACCAACATAGCTAAGGGTGGGCTTAAGATCTCAGCTATACAGAAATCTATTGAGGCCTTTCATACAAAGAACCCTCTTGTGCAGGTAAAGAAACTGTTCTTAAGCTTCGGTGCCAACGACATCCGGTACTGTACCCAGGGTGTCAATCATCTCAAGACCCCTGTGAGTGACCTTATGAAGACAGCAAAAAAACTTTATCCAAATGCACGTGTTTTTGTACAAGCTATTCCACCAGTCCACCCCAACGGACAAGATAAAATCCCTGGTAATGTTTGTGCTATGAATAATTTGATCTTTGATCGCTGCTCTAGGCATAAACTGTTTTACCTTGATGTTTTTTGGGCTTTCTTAGACCGCTATGGAAACAGAAACGAGAGATTATTTCCTAAATGTGACAATAGGGGCTTTTATGATATTCATCCCAGCCCCAAGGCTGGGATGCCAGTGTTGGCAAAGTTCTATCTCAGAATCATACACTCAAAGTGGTTTAATCCATTGGGATACTGATGTGGTAATTCAATTCAATATTTAAATTTTTCATTGTCTGCATCAGTATCCTATTGGATCTGATCATTTGGATGTTATTTATATGTATTCAAACGAAGTGATAGCATAATGTATGTTACTTCATATTATAGCACAATACCTAACAAAACACAACGGCGAGACACAATTCTGTTAATAATATACTTTAAAGTTCCATGGGAATATCGGCTCAACAACACCGTGTTGCAACTGGTATGTTTTCTAGGTATGTTATCATCAGTAAAAGTAATAGAGGTAACGGGGAAAATTTGTTGTCCTGTCTTCTGTCTCGTCATATGTTATGTGCTCTATTGGGTATATTTTATTTTTATGTTATTTTGTATATATTTTCTTTGACTATCGATGCTAATATACTCCCTGGTGCTCCCCTACAACCTAAAATACACTCTGTACCATGTTTGAGGTCATCCATAAATCTTTACTTTATGGTAATATTTTGTACCATTTTTCTCAGACACTTTAAACTTGTGTATAGGGGGGAGGGGGGCATTGGGACAGCCTTAGCTGCAATTTCTGTAAAATTGCTATCTACCACAAAAACCGAACTGTCACCTACCATGTCACCGAAACAGACTGTTAAGTTACTTTTCGGTATAACCAGCAGCTGGCTTGGGGTCATGTCTAGGTGTGGTCTGGTTTTTCTATCTCTCCTTAATATTTCCCTGATAGTAATTTGTAATTGTTCCTTACTGAACCCTGGACCAAATTTATCCGTTGTTTACAATAATGTCCATGGTTTCCTAAATACACGCGATTTAGCATCAGGAACACCACCACTAAATATGACCAAGATACATGAATTCCATGGTTATATCTACAAACATAAGCCTCACATCATTATTCTAAACGAGACATGGCTGAAAAATTCCATTCTCAGTAATGAGGTGCTCCCTGACAAATACAAAGTATTTAGGCTTGACCGATCCTTAAGATCGCATCCAGTGGATGCAACCCAGCCCAAGAAATTCAGAAAAAACGGTGGTGGTGTTCTGATTGCCCATAGAACAGACATTGATATCTCGAGTCTAAAGTTCTCTAAAGTTAGTGTTCAAGCTGAATTATTATCCATCATAATTAAGACTCAGTGTGGAAGAAACTTTTGTATATCAACATTTTATAGAGTAGGAACGCTTGGCTTAGATAATTTTGAATCTTTCAAGAAACATTTTGTTACTTTAGCATCTGCCAGAAAATTGCAAAGGCACATTCTGGTAGGTGACTTTAATTTGGCTTCGATTTCCTGGCCAGATGGTCAGTCATCTTGCCAGCTACATTCTAGCTTTGTAAATTTTCTCACTGATGACCTCGGACATACACAACTTATTAGCTCCCCTACTCACAAGTCAGGCAACACCTTAGATCTTGTGTTCACTAACATTCAAAACCTTATTAAGAATGTTAAAGTTTTAGATCAAAACGAAATGTGTATGTCCGACCACTTTTGTATCACATTTGACATTGATATTAAGACCAAGTATATTAAGCAGCCTAAAAGAAAGATCTTTAATTATAGTAAAGGTAATTTTAGGGGCCTGAATTCTGAGTTATTTAGCATCGATTGGGATAGTATATTTGAGTGTAATGATCCTTATCTTGCCTGGAGTCGATTCAGAGGAGTTCTCGGTGCAGCCTGTGACCGATGGATCCCTAAAAAGACCATTAAGTCTCAGTTCCAGCCCCCATGGTATGACTCCGAATGTGATCGTCTCCTACGAAATAAGGAGAAATGGAGAATAAGGCATAAGGGGAGCAACTCTGAGTCTCATAAACAAAAGTTTCGTGCATTTCGCACAAAATTTAAAAATTTGATGGACGAAAGAATGAGACTCAGTGTTGAGGATGACTCCGATGATGCTCTTATCTCCAAGAAATTCTGGACCTACGTTAAATCTAAATCAAAGTCAACCAGGATCCCTGAAACTGTCAAATATCATAATCGCTTTCGAAACAATCCATCTGATCAAGCTGCCCTTTTTAACGAATATTTTTATGAGCAGTTTTCTCAAGAGAGCGATTATGGCATTGACATAGATTTTCGTGATGATTGTTTTTCAAGTCTTGTGTTTAGTAGAGAAGATGTTCTGTTGATTCTTAAAAAGTTAAATCCTAACAAGGCCCCTGGCCCTGATGGGATTCATGGGAGAGTCCTCAAAAACTGTGCCCAAAGCCTTGCATACCCACTTAGTGTTTTATTTAACCTGTCTTTCTCGAGCGGATGCATACCCCCTGATTGGAAGCTGGCACTTGTAGTACCAGTGCACAAAAAGGGCGATAAGTCTTCGGTTGAGAACTACAGGCCTATCTCGTTAACATCTCTTGTAATGAAAGTCTTTGAAAGGTGCATAAAGACTGCATTATACGCTGCATGTTCTGATCTGTTGGATGACCGACAACACGGTTTTGTTAATGAACGTTCATGCACAACCCAAATGATACCTTTCACGGACAATCTTGCACTTGCATTGAATAACAGGTCCAGGACTGATATAATATATTTTGATTTTGCGAAAGCTTTTGATAGCGTTTCGCATGACCTCATTTTAAGTAAATTAAAGAATATTTTTAATGTCGATGGACTAATGCTTAAATTTATTAAGTCCTATCTTGAGGGGCGACAACAACAAGTAGTGATAGGAGGCCAAACGTCTTCTTCTCTACCAGTTCGGTCTGGTGTCCCTCAAGGTTCTATACTTGGCCCTTTATTGTTTGTAATATTTATAAATGACATGTTCTCCTGTGTCTCTGAAGGCACCAATATCGCCCTTTATGCAGATGACACTAAAATTTGGAGGGAGATCCTTGGTTACCCTGACCATCACATAATCCAAAATGACATCAACAGATTATATGATTGGTCAGTGAGAAATCGAATGAAGTTCCACCCACAAAAGTGCAAAGCCCTCTCTGTGTCCCTGCAAAGAAACGTGCTGGATAACTTGCCATTCAATACCTTCTTTTATAAACTTTCTGGAAGTGATATTGACTTTGTGCCCTCTCAGTCAGATT